GTCAGAGGGAGAAGCAGACTCCCTGCCGAGCAGGGAGCCCGATGCGGGACTCGATCCCGGGACTCCAGGATCATGACCTGAGCCAAAGGCAGTCGTCTAACCAACTGAGCCACCCAGGCGCCCCTCTATCAATCTTCTATTTAAAGTTTTCCTCCATTGCTTCTGTGTTTATAATTGTTAAAATTCATTTAATAATAGAAAACAGACACATGTAATAAACTTGGGAGCCCAGAAATATGCCCAAGCATATATGGTCAACTGATATTCGACAAGGGAGCCAAGAATATTCAGTGGAGAAAGGATAGTCTCTTCAATAAATGTTGCTGGGAAAACTGGATATTCATGAGCAAAAGAATGAAAGTGGATCTCCATCTTACACCATTCACAAAAATCACCCCAAAATGTTATTAAAGACTTAAATGTAAAACCTGAAACACTAAAACTCCTAGAAGAAAATAGAGGGAAAAAGTCCTTTGACATTGTTCTTGGCAATGATTTTGTGGATATGACACCAAAAGCACAAGCAACAAAAGCAAAAATAAACAAGTGGACCAATATCAAACTAAAAAGCTTCTGTGCAGCAAAAGAAATGAGCAACAAAATGAAAAGGGAAACTGTGGAATGGGAGGAAACATCTGCAAACCACATTTCTGGTAAGGAGTTAATATCCAAAATATACAAGGGATCCATACAACTCAATGGCAATAATAATAATAGTAATAATAATAATAATAATAATAATAATAGTAATCCAATTTAAAAATAGCCATTTTTCCAAAGAAGATATACAAAAGGCTGGAAGGTACATGAAAAGGTGTTCTACATCACTAATAATAAGTGAAATTGAAAAAAAACCCACAATGATAGAACACCCCACACCTGTCAGAGTGGCTATTATCAAAAAGAGAAGAGGTAAGTACTGGCGAGGATGTGGAGAAAGGGGAACCCTCTTGTACTGTTGGTAGGAATGCAAGCTGGTGCAGCCACCCTGGAAAACAGCATGGAGGCTCCTCAAAAAGTTAAAAATAGAACTACTGTAAGATCCAGCATTTGCACTACTGGGTATATATCTAAAGGAAATGAAATTACTATCTCAAAGAGATCTCTATATCCCCATGTTCATTGCAGCATTAATTACAATAGCCAAGACATGGAAACAACCTAAGTGTCTATCAGTGGATGGATGGACAAAGAAAAGGTAATATATATTGTGTATATATATACACAATTGAATATCATTCGGCCATAAAAAAGAAAGAAATCCGAGGCGCCTGGGTGGCTCAGTCGTTAAGTGTCTGCCTTCGGCTCAGGTCATGATCCCAGGGTCTGGGGATCGAGCCCCACATCGGGCTCCCTGCTCGGCGGGAAGCCTGCTTCTCCCTCTCCCGTGTTCCCTCTCTCGCTGTGTCTCTCTGTCAGATAAATAAATAAAATCTCAAAAAAAAAAAAAAAAGAAGGAAATCCTGCCATTTGCAGCAACATGAATGAAACTTGAGGGCATTATGCTAAGTGAAATAAGTCAGACAGAGAAAGACAAATACTATATGATCTCACTTATTCGTGGAACCTGAAAAAAAAAAACTGAAGTCACAGAAACAGAGAACAGATGCGGTTGCTGGGGGTGGGGGAAATGGGTGAAGGTGGTCAAAGGGTACAAGCTTCCAGTTATAAGATGAATAAGTCCTGGGGATGGAATGCACAGCATGGTGACCAGAGGTAACCATGCTGTATTGTATATTTGAAAGTTGCCGAGAGAGTAATTTTAAAAGTTCTCACCACAAAAAAAAGTGACTATGTGAGGTGATGAATGCGTTAACAAACCCTACTGTGGTGATCATTTCACAATATATACATACAGTGAATCATTATGTTGTACACAGTGTTATATGTCAATTATATCTCAATAGAGCTGGGAAAGAAATAATACAAGATTTTAAAAATTCAAGATATTAGGGGAAAATGTCATTTAAAATGCATTTCAAAGGACACTATTTCAGGCACTAACTGTATTTGGAAACACTTTCTGGCTCATTCATTTCTTGGTCTGATATTTTCATTTGTTACACATCCATTCTTGGCATGTGTAGACCATTGATTGAGGATCCATTGTGTGGACAGCAGATGCCAAGTGCTGAGGGAAATGAGGAAGGACAGAAAGTCCTATGCAAGTTATCTGTGCATGGTGCCAACCACGACACCATCTGCAATTAGGTACATAACAAATAATAGGTTTTGTATAGTTGTTAAATTAGGACTTTCGGGAGAACACGAACCATGAGATCTGATAATAAGAGCAGAATCTATGTTCATATTCTAAGTATGAACCTGGTGAGTAGACTGGAGACAAACGAAGGGGAAGAAAACTGATTATTGGGACCAAAAATAAAGGACAGATAAGGACAAGAATCCTTCATCGATTCTCGGCTAAGAACATCTTTGGAGTAATCTTCCCAGCTCCTAAATAAACCCTTGGGATTCCAGACATGCTGCCTTCTCATGTGGCCCTTCCTTTGTTCTGTAATTTAAGGCTGCCCCGAAGTGTACAGTTGGTGCAAGAACCATGACCTCTTCCTCCTTGGCCTTCTTTTTGGCATCATCCAACTTCTTCTTTTTACTTTCAGGCATGAGATCATCTAACCAGCTCAGCTCTCGTTTAGAGAAACAGAGATCCATGACTTTCCTGACAAAGACCAATGCCAAAACCTGAAGAAAAATAAAGAAAGGGAATTAAAGGAGTTCACTTCCTTCCTGGAGTTAAACACTACGGCATTTCAAGGAAAAGCAAACTCATAGTAATCATGATAGTTGCCTATTATGGAGTGCCCTCTTTGCACCAGATACTAAGGCGAGTGTTTTCTATGTAGTATTTTATTTAACTATCGTCATAACAACCCTACAACTTAGAGAGCACCCAATTTAATGTCCTCATTGAAAAGAGACACCCCTCATCCTCAGAGGGCCTGAAGAGTTGCCTTTTCCAGTGGTGGGACCAGCAGGAAGGGCTGCAGGGCAGTCCTGGGGGAGAGAGCATTTGCCAGAACACAGCTATGGCTGACGCCAGCCATGCCCAGCCCACGCATGCCTCACCATGGCAGGAAGGGACTCTGAAGGACTGTCACAATTCCCTCTGATCCTTTGCCTTGACATTTCCCCACAAAATCCTTGCTTCATGCCTGCATCATGAATTGCTAGTGTTTTGTGTCTCTGCCCTCAGGACTGGCCTGACATTCCTTTTGCAAATGAGGAAACCGAGGCCCAGGGAGAGAAAGTAACTTGCCTAAAATCCGACAGCTAATTTCCTCAACTGTCCATAGGACAGGGTGCCTCAACTGCTGCTCCACCTTTTTCCCATAAAAGGCCATTTTTGCCAAAGGGGAATTAATAATAACCCAGAATGACTGGCCTGGAGTGACTGGTGTTCACCAGCTACATCGGGTGGCTGGACAGGAATGAGGCAAATCAGGCTTCTTACGTTCAACCACGTTTCTCCCTTGTGTCCACAACTACTCTCTCAATGCAGCCAATATCAATAGTATCCCTTCCAAGGGGTTGTCAGGCATTTGCTGTTTCTTTAACCAAACAGTCAACCCCTGAATATAACATCCAAATGCAGAAACCTACATGAACTCTGACAAAATTGAGAGATCCATTAGGAGGTACATATGTAGGAGACGAGGGGAGAAGAACGCCCCCGACCCCCGTTTTCCTCACCCTTGAATATTCTCCCAGTAAGACAGAGTTCAGAAGTCCCCAAACAAGCACCAAACATTACCCCTATTGCCTTTTCTCTCTAGAGGCCCACCCTTTGGGTCATTTTCAAACAGCCCACAGAATGTTCCACAGCCTCATGACCCAGGGTAAGCCAGAGAGGGGAAGGTTAACAAGAGGAGATGAGACCGTGAGGACGTCAGGTGGCAAGGATTTCATCCTCACCCTAATGGCAGGAAACGGCTTGCCGTCTGTGGTACCACACACAGTTCAGCTTCCCTAGTCCCTTTTCCAAAGCCTCTGCTTCAGTTCGAGAGGAGGTAAGGATGTCCCAATCACTTCTCAGTGCTGGGCCAACTTCTTCCTAAATTCCAGTGGCTTAAAACAGTGCATTTCCACCACTTCAGGCACTTCTGATTGCAATGAATTCTAAACTGGAACTATGTTGCTCTGAAGTAACAGGCAAATTATCGAATTATTGCAAACATGAAGAATCCTCTCCATGTGAGAGTCATGAGAGACAGAGAAGAGAAGAGAAAGGGAGGAACGGAGGAAGACAGACTGATGGACTTGAAAGTAAAGATGGCAAGCTGCCTCACACATGCATCCACACCTCAAGGTCCCAAAACAATGCTGCTCCTGCAAAAGCCAACCAGAAAACTCGCCACCAGTAAGGGATTAATATCCAGAATAGATAGAGAACTCCTAGAACAACAACAACAAAAAAATCTGATTAAAAAATGGGCAAAGGACTTGAATAGACTTGTCTCCAAAGAAGATATACAAGTAGTCAATAAACACATGAAAGGGTGACATGAAAGGGTGCCTGGGTGGCTCAGTCGTTAAGCTGCCTTCGGCTCAGGTCATGATCCTGGAGTCCTGGAATCAAGCCCCGCATCGGGGTCCCTGCTCAGCAGGAAGCCTGCTTCTCCCTCTCCCACTCCCCCTGCTTGTGTTCCCTCTCTCGCTGTGTTTCCGTCAAATAAATAAAATCTTAAAAAAAAAAAGCACATGAAAAGGGGCTCAACCTCACTAGTCATTAGGGAAATGCAAATCGAAACCTCAATGAGATAGCACTTCACACACATTAGGATGGCTGATATCCAAAAAACAAACAAAACTAAAACCCCCAAAGCGGAGAGTAAGTGTTGGCAAAGATGTGGACCACCTGGAACCCCATGTACTTATAAAATCGTGCAGCCGTTCCTCAAAAAATTAAAAATGGAATCACCATATGATCCAGGAATCCACTTTTAGGTATATACCACAAAGAACTGAAAGTGGGAACACAAACAGATATTTGTACAATTCACATTTATAGCAGCATTATTCACAACAGCGAAAAAGTGGGAGCAATCCAAGTGTCTATCAATGAATGCACAGATAACCAAAAGGTGGTATGTATATATATATATATACACAAATATACACACATATACACACACACACACAGAGGAATATTATTCAGCCTTTCACAAGGAAATTCTGACACATGTTACAACATGGAAGAACCCCTTGGAGACATTATGCTAATAAGTAAAATAAGCCAGATACAAAAACACAAATACTTTATGGTTCCAGTCACATGAGGCACCTAAAGTAGTCAAGTTCATGGAGACCGAAAGTAGAATAGTGGTTGCTAGGGGTGGGGGGGAGGGGGAATGGGGAGTCATTGTTTAATGGGTACAGTTTCAGTTTTGCAAGATAAAATAGTTCTGGAAATGTATGGTGGCAATAGTTGTACCACAACGTAAATGTACTTAATGCCACTGAACTGTACCCTTACAAATGGTTAAGATGATACGTTTCATGTTATGTATATTTCATCACGATTTTTTAAAATAAATAATAACGTTGTTAAACTCACCATCATTGGAAAGACAATGGCAGCTGGAGATGCCTTAATGACCCAGAGCAGGACCAGGCAGGTGAGCTGGATGAGGGTGAAGAGGTGCACTTTGCGCAGGGGCACGTGTCGAAGGTAGATAAAATCCGGCTGGTGCTTTGCAGGCATCCCAAAGAGCTTCAGACGGTCAAAGAACTGAAAGGAGGGAACTGGCATTTATTTTCAGGAGGTTTCTTTGAGTCAGAAGCCTTGTGAGGCCCATTCATCTCTCTTATATCACCTGCTTTGAAAGGTTACCTACCACCGGACAAAAATGGAAACTGAGTCTCAGAGAGTATAGGTAATTTGGCTGAGGTTGGAATGTGACAGAGTCAAAATTTAAATCCGTCTCTTTTTTAAAGATTTTATTTATTTGAGAGAGAGAAAAACAGAGAGAGAGCGAGTACAAGCAGAGGGGAGCGACAGGCAGAGGGAGAGGGAGAAGCAGGCTTCCCGCGGAGCAGGGAGCCCGATGCGGGGCTCGATCCCAGGACCCTGGGATCATGACCTGAGCCGAAGGCAGACGCTTAACCAACTGAGCCACCGAGGTGCCCCTCTTTTCTTTTTTTCTTAAGGTTTTTTTTTTTTTTTTAAGTAATCTCTATACCTAGCACAGGGGTTGAAATCACAACTCTGAGACCAAGAGTCACATGCTCTATAATACTGAGCCAGCCAGGGGTCCCTAAATCCATCTTTTCTAATTCTAGGTTCAAATTTCTTTCTTCTATCCCACACTGGCTCCCGACAGATCTTTCTCAGGGAGTGTTGAAAATAAAATAAGCCAGTTCCATCTTTCTGCTTATTATCAAAACCAAATGTCTTGTTCTTTGAGGAGTTTGAAGGTTTTCATTGATTATTTATAATAAAAAGATAAAAAAAAACCTTCATAACATTCTGGATATAGAACACATGACCATCCTTATATTATAAAAAGGAAAACAGGGGCACCTGTATGGCTCAGCCAGTTAAGCGTCTGCCTTCTGCTCAGGTCATGATCCCCGGGTCCTAGAATGGAGCCCCATGTCATGATTCCTGTTCAGCAGGAAGTCTGCTTCTCCCTCTCCCTCTGCCTCTCCCCTACATTTGTGCTCTCTCTCTCTTTCACCCCCTCTCTCTCTCAGATAAAGAAATAAAAATCTCTATAAATAAATTAATTAAATTAAAAATGAATAAAAAGGAAAACAGAGACCCAGAGGGATTCAATAACCTGTCCAAGGTCACATTAAAACTCAGTGGGTAAGAATGACCGTTGGACATTCCATAAAAACAAAGAGGAACCAGCCACCAATAGAAGAAACTAAGTTATCGAATCTTCTGGGGTGCCCACGTTATCTGTGGCCAGCTCCTGACTTTCTACGTTCAAATGACTCAGAGGAATGAGTTGACAGATGGGCAAAGGCAGAGCATGACAGGATGTAGTACCCGCTTACCTGGAGCAGCCCCCACTGCTACCAGTCCCGTGTCCCTCGCTCACACTGCAGCCCCGGCCCGACAACTAGCACGATCCATGCGTGGAAGCCTAATATCTGTCTGTTAAATAGCTAACGAATGACTGGCACCATGAATGACATCAAGCCAGGCCATCCTGAAAGTCTCTGTACCCTTATGCCAGCTTGACTGTCCAAATGACTTGCCCAATGCCCAAAGAAACGTCTAAAACAGCTTTAACCGGCAAGCCTAGGAAAGGGGTTCTCCCTGGGAGAGCCCCCCCTCCCCAGTCAGGATGGATGAGCTCGCAGTGCGAAGCCGTTGCCCTAGCTGAACCACGCAATACCTGAATTCCTTGTAGTGAGGAAACTCCCATGTAGAGGAAAACTCCATAGAGTACCGGCATTGGGATAAACTGAAGACAAAAGGGCAAAAAGACCAGAAATTAAATTAGGTATCATAAACTTTTAAATCTCCAAGAAGGAAACAAAGTCCCCAAACCACTGCATAAACATTGCATTAGTTTCTGCTACCTTTGCATGATTTAGAAGGAGAAGCAAAATCAGAAGCTGACAATGATAAAAAAAAAAAAATCATTTTGTTCTGAGATGAAATGATTACACATAAGAGTAATCCGGTCCTGGTTAAATCATAGGCCTCACATTTTACCCCTGCCTGGCTCTTCCACCTCCGTGGGGATGGGCGCGCACACACACACACACACACACATACACATCCCTCTTTTACAGAACTGATAACTTTTAAAACTAATTACATAATCAATCATCTCAGGGATTTGGCATGTTTTAACATGGACTAAAAAGTTTACTTTCTGCTAACCAGAGACTTAGAGGCAGGAATAGGGAGGTATCAGAGAGGGAATGATTTGGGGAGAAATATCAACATCATTAACTGCCCTTGAATATACATACACACCTATCACATTTCATCGGTAATCTTCAGGGCAACTCGATGAGGTAGGGAAATGAAGCCTGCGGAATGAAGGCAAGGGAAGTCTTACAGCTAAAGACTAAACTTGACTTGCTTTTATTCTGAAGCTAAAGAACATTCCCAAACATAATTCCTCTCAGAACTAGAAAATCCCCACTGGATTTTATGCTGTTTCAACTGTAGAGTGAGTAGACATCTTAGTTTGGTGTTAACCTTGCTTGTAGAACTACAGAATGGCTTCCTGAAGGAAGCCTTCTGAGCCAGTTCTAGGAAGGCCCGGTGATGCCCACTGGCCATGCCTTTGTGGTTACCTTCCTGGACGAGCAGCAACCTTTGGGCTCCTCCAAATGGCAGCTAGACCAGAGGTGGGAGTGGGGACCAGGCTGGGGACAGAGAGTAGAAGGGGGGGAGGGGGCATGAGGAGAGGTGGACTGGGTGCAAAGTAAGGGGCCAGGAAGATGGTTTCAAATCCTTTACCATTTCTCTCAACTGTCACCCTTAAATAGCACTCACAATGCAAGCTGGGGTGGTTGAAGATTCACCAAAAGAAGGAGAAAGGAGGCAAGGGAGCCAAGTAATGGGGCTTGGCGATACAGCCATAGAGCTTTCCTTTTCACCCCATTTTTCCCAGATGCAAACCTTACACCTACAAAACCAAATATTTTTTTCTCACATTCAAGGTATCTTCCATCTTTCCAAAAATCCTCTTTTAACCCCACATCTCACACCAGCCACTGCCCATTTTCCATTCCATTTCACAGAAAAATCTCTTGAAAGAGCTGTCTGCTCACAATCTCTTTTACTTCTCACCTCCTATTTGCTCTTCACTTCCCTGTAATTCAACTTCAGCCCTATCGTTCCATGGAATCTGTTCTTGTTGAGTCCCGTTAGGCCCCCATGTTGCCAAATCCAATGGCTTGGTTTAGTCTTTATCTTTCTAGACAGATTCTAACCAATCCCTCTTTCTGGAAACATTCCCCTCACTTGGCTTTCCTGATACCACACCCTCCTGGTTTCCCTCCTACCTCTCTGGCAGCTCCTTCTGGGTCTCTGTTGCTATCTCCTCCTCTACCCGACTTCTAAATATTAGAGCTCCTTAGACTCCGCTCTTGCCTCTGGGCCTACTTCTCTTTTATATCTACCCTTCTCCCTGAGTGATCTTATCTACTCCCATGGCTGTACCACTAAGTGCTGTTGACTCCCACATTTATATTTTTAATCCAGAACCTTCCTCTAGCTTCTTCACACAGTTGCCTCCTGGATATCTCACCCAAAATCTGACCATAGCCCCACCACCTCTCACAAAATCACTTCCTCCTTCAAGCAGTCTTCTCCATCTTAAATGTCAGTACTCTCCACCCAGATGGTCAAATCAGAAACCTAGCAGGCATTTTGATTTTTCCATTTTCCACACTCCATTCCATGTCCAGTCAATCAGCAAGACTTTGGGTCTGCCTCCAAGATATACAGAAGTCATGCCTTTTCTCCATCCCTTCCCTACCCAAGTCACCAGCATCTCCCACTTATAATAGCCTCACTAGCAACTCTGCCTCTATTTTTCCCAACCCTAAAAACTTATTCGCTAGACATTGGCCAGAGTGATCTTTAAAAAAATACTAAATGGAGGGGCGTCTGGGTGGCTAGGTCGGTTGAGCATCTGCCTTCGGCTCGGGTCATGGTCTCTAGGTCCTGGGATCGAGCCCCGCATCAGGCTTCCTACTCAGCAGGGAGTCTGCTTCTCCCTCTCTCTCTCTCCCCCTCTGCCCCTCCCCACTGCTTGTTCTCTCTCTCTCTCTCTCAAATAATCTTTTAAAAAATAAGTAAAAATAAAAATATTAAATGGATCATGTCCCTTGCCTGAAAGTTAACCCTTCAAAGGTTAACTTTACCAGAGTCAACAAGGCCCTGCATGATCTGCCCCTACGTGCTCTTGCCTTGACTCAATACCCTTGAGCCACATGGCCCTCATACTTCTTAGAACACATATCACTCTTTCCCATCTCAGGGCCTGACTAGATTGCTATTCTCCCTTTCCCCATGCTGGCTCCCTCTATCCGTGAAATGGCTGGCTCCATCTCATCTTAAATACCATCTCTGTAGAAGCCTTCTCTGACCACACTAACTGAAACAGCACTCCCTTAATTCTCTAAGGCACCATAGAACACTATATATTTCCTTTTATCATTTTCATATTCTATAATTATCATGTTTGTTTCCTTTCTTTTCTTTTCTTTTTTTTTTTTTTT